AGATTATTTATTTTTATTTAATTTTTATATTCTAAATCTATTTTTTCAATAACTTCGATATATGTTGGAAATTTACTTTGCGTGTTGAGTCGAATATTTGATAACATTTTACGTTGTATGAAAATTCTAAAGTTTAGGCATCGTAAGTGGAGGTTCTACTGTAAATGTCCCAGGTTTGTGTCATGTGGCCAAACCCAGAGGCCAGAGGTTATGGGGCGGTTGATGAGGCCAACACAGCTGCAGAAACCAGCCCAGCTCTGCTCCACACCTTCTACTTTTCCTGAGTGGGCTCAGGGTGACAATAAGCTCCAATGCCCACATCAGAAATGAAGCTGATATGATGTCAGCTCTGTGAGCTGGGAGATGTTTGTTGTTTCTCTTTGCCTTTAAATATGTCGACTTGGAGTGAAGAGAGTGGGAAAACTGCTGGGCTGCCTTTAGAGTGTTGCTCCAGTGTGGCTAAGGAAGGGCATCACACAGGAATGATCCAGTCTGAAAGCCTCTGAGGATGATCCTCGTGTTGTCTCAGAGCTTTTAGCAAGAGGTGAAATGTGCTGTGTGAGCCAATGGTGACCGCATGTCTTTGTCCTGCCCTGAAAAAGGAGCGTGTGAGGAATGCGGCTGGAAGCGAGCAGGAGAAGCCCAGAAGCTCCACCTCATCCACAGGCTCCACCCCCGGACGGCCTGAGGCCTCGGACACAGGCGGGAGCCCCCAGGAGGAGCACCCTCATAGCCCAGGTCAGCCAGGCTTTTTTAAGGTTTCCCCTGAAAAGAGAGTCTGTTGCTCACTGTTTGAGTTCCCACATCTTTAGAGTAAACCTTCTCTACTCTTGTTGGGCTTCAGAGTCCGGTCTGACCGGCTCTTTTTGGAAAGCGCCGTGAGATAGCTGTTATTGTGATTTGGCGCTATAGAAATTAAATTGAACTGAAATGAAAAAAAAAATGGAATTGAACTCTGTCTCATAAGATGTAGTGTGATTTTACACGTTGTGTTGGATAAAATGAGTACAGAGGGAGAGACGACAGAGAAGAGGGTCCAGCGTCCCACTGCCAGAGGCAGAGGTGGAGCTAAACAGCTCCAAGCTGCTGCTCACTGGTCTTTGGTTTTTTATCATTGGTGGTGTGTCTCTGCTCCTCCTCCCCTCAGAGCCTCACGTGTGCCTGTTGGACTGCATGGCCCTGGACCTGCAGGAGATGGACATCTTCGCTGCAGAGCACCTGCCCTGTCGTCCCTGGGATGGCGGCGGGCAGCCCGAGTCCTCCGACCTCATCTTTCCCTCATACTCTGTCCGCCGAACTGGAGACAATCTGCTCAAAGACCGCTGCCGCCTAAGGCTCAAAGTGGAGCGCAACCTGGACAGGTACAGCCTGTCTGAACTCACATGCTCTCTTCCAGCTAACAGCCTGAGGGGATCTCAGTTTTCAACAATTATTTAGTTTAGGGAAAAGCATAGTGGATCCACTCTGCTTTGGCTTGTAAAACATTCTGTTGAGAGATTCCACTGTAGGAAATAAAAAATATGCCAACTGCTTTTGCTCCGTGAAACCTCGTCCACAGTTTAGTACTTAGCCTCTTCTTTTAAACCACTAATGTCCCGCTCACACCTTTGAGCCCTTCTCATACAGCAGGTCGAATGGATATTAGACACATCACAAATTTTCTACGTACATATATTTGTAAAGGTGCTGTTTACATGAACTTTTCAGCGGATGTCAATAACAAGCCGGCAGTCCACAAATCCAAAGAATTCAAACCACAGATGGCCTTAAATGACGTTATGTGTTATAATGAGAAAAACACAGGGAGAAAGGATCGAACACATGAGGAAAGGGATGTGCAGAGAGCATGATTAGAGATAAATCCTGATAGAAATGAACATCAGTTGGTTCAGTCCCATCTGGTGGACTGTTGAAAGTCTCACTACCAAGGAGTCACACACTAACATCATGAGGTTTGCACAGATTAAAGAGCACAGTCAACTGTTTGGAGGTTAAAAGGCACTGCATATCAGCCCCAACACACCAACAGTGAGGTGTGGAGGTGGGAACATCATGATATGGGCCCGTTGTTCAGCAAGTGGCACTGGTAGACCTCATAGAACTGAAGAAAGGATGAATTGAAACTAGGGCTGAGATATTGTTACTAAAAATCTGCTCAGCTCCTTTAGAAATATACATGATATACACACATATATGTACTTACTTAGAAAATTAGAAAATTAGTGCTGCTTCAGGACGTTTCACTAGCCTGTTGGAGCTCTGCGCATTCATCCTGCCTTCCCGTTGGCAGGGAGCTGAGCCACGCCGTGCCGGACATGTCCATCCACGGCAGCCTGTCCTCGGTGCACTGCTGTCTGGACATGAAGCACTACCAGCTGATCAGAGGCCTGCTGGAGAACAACCTGGGAGAGCCGGTGGAAGAGTTCCTGCGACCCTACAACCTCCAGGACCCCAGCAGCTATGTGAGGATCAGACTGACATGCACACACACCAGCAGGCCACCAAATGAAGGAATCTCCACGGGTCTTTTAAACATGGCTGTTTTAAACATTTTCAAACTGCTGATGGTCTTCCAAAGAGTTCTTTGGTGATCTTCTTTTAACCGTGGAAAGCCCTGCGTGTTCCAGTCTGCCAACTGGTGTTGTCTTTCTCTAGACGGTGTTGAGTGGAGATGTCTTTACCAACCTGTCCTTCCTGGTGGACATGATGGACGTCAGCCTGGAGCTCCTGGACAGCCCAACCCGGTCCGAATGCAGGCGCTCCTTGGCGAGGTGAGCCTCTCTGACTCCACACATTCATTTTCTATGCCTAAAGGAGGTCCCTCATTTTGGAGATATTATGAAAGGAATAGAATAATTTACTTTCATGAGGGGATTGTAAAAATATGGCCTCTTTCTCTAGAGGCATAATTTTTCCTGGGTTCATCTTAAAGTAATAATTTCTTTTTCACTGAACAGCATCAAATGAACCAAGTTTAATCCAATATATTTAGATGTTTTTATATATTTTTTTTACCAGTTTGTTCAAGTTTTATCTTTCCTGAAATGATAAAAGTTGTATTGTTGTATTTGAAAGAAAGAGAAGCTGAGTGGACATGTTGAGAGCTGATGGCTGTACAGAAACTGGATCCTGTCAGATCCCGCCTGTAAAATGCCAGTGTTTTAACTGTTGACCTGTTCTGCAAAGGTTTGACTTCATGAAGTCGAAGGTGCTCTTTGAGGGTTTCTCCAACGGATCCAAGTCTGTCAACCTGGTGTCTCATTCTCTGCTGGCGCACGACACCCGCTACACGGGCGCCAGGAGGGGCGCCGAGGGCCTCAGGCACAACGTGTTTGACTGCATTCTGCAGCCCTCCAAAACGGGCACCAACCGGGCGTCCCTGCAGCTGGAGCTGCACTACAGGTATCCCCGAGCAGCCGGGGGGGCGGAGCCTAGTCTGAGCCTGGTCTGAGCCATGTCCCCCCTCTCCTGCAGGTCCACCCGCGAGTCCTCCTGCTTCACCGTGGTGCTCAATAACCTCAGGGTCTTCCTCATCTTCGACTGGCTGCAGCTGGTGCGGGACTTCCTCCACATGCCGGCCGAGAGCGGGCCGGGCGGCGCCGAGGCCCGCCAGCGCTGGCCCAGCGCCGCCGGCGCCGAGCCGGGCCCCGCCGGAGCCCTCATGCCCAAGACGGTGAAGAGCGGAGTGGTTACCAAGAGGTCCACCGTACCGGTCAACCAGGAGCGCTGCCTGGAGGTGAAGATCAATGTGACAGGTGAGAGGGGGAGGACAGCTGGCGGGGGGGGCCTCAGGGTGCTAATTATCTGAAAATAATCTGCCGTTTCCGAGTGTCTGTGCTGTAGCAGTGACTGGCGTCATGTCATAATTCCTTATCACTAGATGGCCGAATGCGGATCGCATTGTACGTTAACACAATTAGTGATGCATGAACAGACAGAATTAGAGGTTGTAAAACACTTTTCTACAGGTTTTCTACAACTTCTTTACACTTAAGACCACATTGTTGTTGCCCTGTACCAGGAGGGTTTTTGAAGTGGACATGTTAAGAACAAATATCAAATAAGATAAAACACATTTTTGCGTTTATTTGATCCCTATTCAGGACAGTTTGATAAGAATAACTATATTGCTAATCTAGGCGGCTACAGAGGATAATTTGTTTAACGTTTTTGGATGTGTTGTGCCTCAGGATTTTTTTCAATGAAAAACAATGGCCAGGCTCATTAGAGTCTCGGGCTGGCCCGTGGTGACCTCTGGGGGAATGTTTGGTGTGCAGGCACTGAGTTTGTGGTGGTGGAGGACCTGTCCTGCCCGGATACCAACGCCATCATTCTGAAGGGCACCACGGTCCTCACGTACAAGCCCCGTCTGGTGGACCGGCCCTTCTCCGGCAGCCTGGCCGGAGTAGAGGTGATGCTTCCCCGCCCCATAGTAGCTCTGCTCTTTGGGGCAGAGCATGGTGAGAGAGAAGCCCTGTGCTGAGCCGTGTGTCCCCTGCAGGTGTTCTCCTGCCGGCTGGGCAGCGAGCAGGAGACGGCGCTGTCCATCATCGACCCCGTCAACGTTCAGGTGGACCTGTGTGGGAGCCCCACCTACCAAAGCAGCTCCGGGCTCCTGGATGCCTTCAATGTGGAGGACATCCCGCCGCTGCTGGAGGTAATGTGTCCCAGCGGCATTTCAGTGCCTTTTTCTACATGTTTAGTTTCTCTGAGAGCCATCAGAACTGGGCAGAGCAGGGGGAGCACCCAGGTGTCGTCTCCCAGTCTTACCAGTACAGTAAAACCTCTACATAGGAATTTAATTTGTTCCAGGGCCTACTTCGTATGTTAAATATTGGTATGTTGGTTCAAATATTTCCATCAGAATACACTGTAATTCCTAGAATTGGTTCCAAAAACCTACAATAACTCCTTACTACTATAACTTAAAATATCTTAGTGTATTTATTTCTATTTAATTTGATATTTTACATATTTTTTTCTATGACTTTGACGTCATAGAATGTGGAGGATATCCCGCCAACGTATGTTGGAAATTTACTTCGGGTGTAGAGTCGAATATTTTATGGAATTTCACTTTGGATGTTGGAAAATTCGTATGTGTAGGCATTGTAAGTAGAGGTTCTGCTGTACGTTGGGTGAACTGGAGGAGTGAAGATGGTGTTCTTCTCTGGCAGATTCAGTTCCCTGCTCTGGACATCCGTCTGTCCTACAACGACATTCAGCTTTTTTTGGCCATCGCCAAGTCAATCCCCACTGCCAGCGCCGGGCCCACACCTCCATCAGATTCTGAGGGCTCCCAGGCTGCCGCGGCCCCCAGAGAGGGCTCCAGGAGCAAGGCGCCCCCCCTCGCAGGTATGGGGAGGGCTGGAGTGCTCCTCAGTCCGATCTTTATGTTGGCGTGGACGGTGACGGCAGATAGATAGATAGATAGATAGATAGATAGATAGATAGATAGATAGACTTTATTCATCCCAAGCTGGGAAATGGCAGTGTAGCAGCAGCTTTGCACATAGTGACAGTCACAACACAATGAGGTAAAGGGTAAAAGAACATATAGCTTTAAAACTTCAGGAAAAAAAACAGGCAAAGAAAAAAATTGGGGAAAAAACAGGAAAAAAATAGAAAAGCTGCAGGAAAAAAATGGTAATTTGATGTAATTTTTTCATCCAAGTTGAGTCACTTTTCAGCCTTAACTGTTGTCAGCTGTCATTAGTAATTCAGTGGATATTTAGTGAGTTACAATGAGGCAGAAAAGCTGTTTCAGAGGAAAGAACGTCTCTTCTAACATGATTTCCTGCTCTTAACCTGTTTATTGAAGGAAAAGTGGGTGTTTTTTAAATATTCACCTGTATGAAACTCCTGTGGAGTCACTTTGCACATCTGGCATGAAGCATGTCGGGGCCTTGAATTCACAAAGAAAACCATTTTTATTTACAATCATCATCTTTTTGTGTCGAAACAAACATTGGCTCCATCTTAAAGTGTGTGGTGTTGTCTGTGCAGAGACCCAGCTCAGACACCTACAGGACCTGGGCTTTAGGAAAGAGGACTGCATGGCTGCTCTGAGACACTGCAAAGGTGAGCCCCCTCTTTTTGCCACACCCCTCCCCAGGAGCCAGGGGCAGTGTTGTTAAAGAGCTGTGTGTGTATTTGTCCTGTAGGCCAGCTGGACCAGGCTGCCACCTGGCTGCTGGAGAACGCTGAGAGCATGGCTGGACAGCCCAGGACCAGAGCTGGCTCTGACAGCCACAGCCACTCTGCCCCCCTCTCAGGGGTGGAGGTCAAGGCTGAGAGCGTCTGCATCTGCTTCATCGACGACTGCCTGGACTGTGACATCCCCCTGGCAGAGCTCACCTTCTCCAGTAAGTCGCCCTGACCACAGGCCATCACGTGCACGTGCACGAGAGGCCAGCTGCTAACCACCACGAGCAAATCCCAACAGCAAGTATCTCCCAGCTTTCCAAACAGAGCAGCTCAGACTCTGAGTTATTTACAGAACAACAACAGTTCCACCAAGAGCAGCACTAGGAGACACAGGGAGGGAAAAACTTCCTATTAAGAGGTGGAAACCTGGAGCAGAATCAATTTCAGCTAGTTCGTCTAAAAAGATTTTTTGATAACGAATTAATTATCTGCAAATAATCTGCCGTTTCCGAATGTCTGTGCTGTAGCAGTGACTTGTGTCATGTCATAATTCTTTATCACTAGATGGCAGAATGTGGATTGCACTGTACGTTAACAAAATTAGTGATGCTTGACTTTGATGACGGTGATGATGGAGAAGTTTTTGAAAAGACAGAATTAGAGGTTGTAAAACAGTTTGAGGTTTTTATACAACCTCTTTATATTTAGGACCACATTGTTGTGGCCCTGTTCCCGGTCTGTTTTTGAAGTAGACAGAACCCTAACCCTAACCAATTAGAAAGAAGAAATATCAAATATGATAAAAAAATACATTTTTGTGTTTATTTGATTCCTATTCAGGACACTTTGATAAGAATAACTATATTTTCAATCTAGGCGGCTACAGAGGATCATTTATTTATTGTTTTTGGTTGGTGGTGTGCCTCTGGATTCAATGGAAAAAAAGGCTTAGAGAGGTGTGACCCCACCAGTCCAGATTCTGTCCCACTCGGAGAAACCCCAGACACGTCCAGCTTTGGTCACAGCCTCCTTACTTAGCTTCAGCATCTGTCAGGAAGTTCGGTTGCTCTGAAGCTTGTGGGGTGTCAGACGTGGACTCCATTAAGGTATTCACCTGCCACAGCTTCATATGAACCGCACAGTGGAGCTTTCCTCTGCAGGACGAACACAGATGAGTAGCAGGGCCAGACGGTAGAGAGAAAGGCCTTTGAAAGTGATTGTCCACCATGTTGGTGTTCGTGGTAACAGAAGAATGCAAGCGACTGGCCTCCGCTAAACAGGCGTATGAGGTGAAAGGCCTTCTCTCTTTGCAGGGCTGTATGTTCTGCAGCGCATCGGCTCCACCCAGGAAGGCAACGCCAGCTTCACTCTGTCTGGGGACTACTACAACAGAGAGCTGTCAGGTGACTGCAGCCTTCAGCCTCCTGTGTTTTCACCTCACTGACCTCAGAAGGCATGACTGGGTGTAAAACCACTGAATGTGTGTGTCAGGCTGGGAGCCCATCATCGAGCCCTGGCCCTGTTTCCTGTCCTGGCAGCAGCAGGCCGCTGGCCGCCTCCACCCCCCACGCCTCAAAATGGGGATACGAGCCAAGCAGAGGCTGGACATCAACATCACGTCTGTTCTGCTCGGTGAGTGAACCGGAATCAAGCCTTTCCCTTTGCTGTGTTTGCTTAGATATACAGTAGAATCTCTACATATTCATTTAATTAATTCCAGGAGTTACTTTGTATGTTAAAATATTGGTATGTTGGCTCAATTGGTCTCATCAGCCCAAAAACCTACGGTAACTCCTTAATAAATACTGCAGATAATTACACACAGCAATAAAACAAATTACTTATATAAGAGAGATGTAAAAAGAAATAAATTAGAAATAAATAATCAATAATAAGGGTTTTCATTGGCACTTTACCTCAGAGACTAGCGAACAGGTGTAGGCTTAGTGATGCAGGAGACGGAGGTGGGTGTGGAGGTAGAGGTGGAGACTGAGATACAGGACGAACCATAACTTACTCTAACTTTCACCACATGAACTTTAAACTAACGTAGCTTATTAGTTTGATATTTTATATATATTTTTCTATGACTTCGACGTCATACGCATGTTGGAAATTTACTTTGGGTGTCGAGTCGAATATTTGATCAAATTTCACTGCGTATGTAGGAAAATTCGTATGTTTAGGCATCGTAAGTAGAGGTTCTGCTGTATAAAGTATTTGTAGCTGCTGGTTTTCCTCTGAAAATCTGAGAAGTCCCTCAAAGCTGGATTTGTTTTGTCTGCCCCTCCCAGAACAATACAAAACTACCAAGAGCTCCTGGATGGCTGATTACTGTAAGGAGGAGGAACAGGCCACCAAGTCTTCCCCCCCTCTGCCCTGGATAGGCTCTTCCGTGGACCCCCCCAGCTTTGGTCAGAGTGAGTTCCAGCAACACTAACTCCGCCTGCAGGTTCTAAAGCAGCTCTACCTCACGTCTCAATCGGCCCACTGCTGTGTGGTAAACATGTAGGGTTCCCCCACCCTACAGAGCATCGTCTCTGGGGGGCCTGACGTCCGCCACTCTCACTCTGTGAGTGTCTGCATCCTGGGGGAGGTGGGACGGCTGCTTCTGGCTCCCACAGAGCAGTGTGTCCCTCAGGGACCCTCTGGGACTTCTTGAGAAAACGGAGCCCCTCTTCTCCCGAAACCACTCAGAAGTCACTGTTGTCTTTTTGTGAGAGTCTTGGTCTGACTAACTTGGACTTGGCTTATTAACATCCCAGCTCTGATTGCATGATGGTGATTACTCTCCTGAAGGAGCTTTTACTCTCTGACCGGCTGTACACAGAGAACGGGAACTTGTGATGCAGTGTTTCGGAGATGACCAGAAAAAATGAGCGAATGAATTAACCAATTGCAGTGATGGTAAAATAACCCTGTGGTGTGCTCCCTCTGCATGTCTGTTGTACTGTAACTATCTTTCTCCACTGTCAGGTGCCCCTCTTTCTCACCTTAGAACTAGGAGCACAGCCAGCTTGACCTACCTCGAGCAGCAGATTCACTCCAGAGGTACAGTCCAGAGTCCAGCTGTCCAGCCTGCCTCTGCAGCCAGCGCTCACCACATCCTGCTCACAGATTTCAGCCTCCATCACAGTCGATGCGAGCATGTTTGTGTGTCTGACCAAGGCTCCGGGCAGTGTGTCCGGGCCAGGCACTGACTGTGTTGTCTCAGATGCTCCCACTGATACAGACCGCTGAGCAGCCAAAGGACATGTGACGCAGGGCTGGAACGCACAGGGCAATCCAAAGAAGATCGGTCACTAGATCCACCGGAGAATAGGTGGCTTTTTATGCCGCGTGAGCAAAAATCCCCATTAGAAAACACGTGAGCTGAAGAAAAAAAACACGGACCCTCACATGTCCGCCACCCAAACTGTTAATGCTTCATTAATCTTTAGCGCCACTTTCTCTGTGGCTCATTCAATTAAATTAAATTTCAAGTCAACGCTTAGGTCTAAAACTAGCTTTCCTCTGAGTGAATGGTGCTGGTTGGTCTAGGGTGTCCTCTAGGATGATCACATTAATCCTTTAGAAGCCCCATCAGCACATCCAGCCAGAGGACGGTGAACGCTGCCCACAGGTCTGTACTGGTACGAACATTTGAACAGGAGCAGCTCGCCCACGCTGGGACTGAGCCGTGCTGGGAAGTGAAATCTCTACAACTCAGTGATCACTGGCTGTGCACTCAGTGCTGTGATGACTGGTCTCTTTAAGATTTCGCTAATTACGAGCCACCTCTTCTTTTGCTTTAGAATCATTTCTGCAGCGTAGCTGAACAGCATGAGAGCCTTATGTCTATCCCACTGCATGTTCAGAGGGGTTTACTACAAAGCAGGCCAGTTTTCCATGTGAGAAGCACACTGACAATCTGGATCCGACATAACTGACCTACAGCAGAACCTCTACATACGAATTTCATTAGTTCCGGGACTTACTTTGTATGTTAGTATATTTGCATGTTGGTTCAAATATTCCCATCAGAATACACTGTAATTTGTATAATTTGTTCCACAGCCCAAAAACCTACGATAACTCCTTAATAAATACTGCAGATAATTACACATGGCAATAAAACAAAGGACTTCTAGAAGAGAGATGGAAAAATAAATTAATTATAAAGAAATAATCAATAAAAAGGGTTTTTATTGGCAGGTAGAGGTTTAAACTAAGATACAGGATGTACCCTAACTTACTTTAACTTTCATTAAGTGAGCTTTAAACTAACTTAGCTCATTGTTTTTATTGAATTTTTATGTTTTATATATATTTTTCTATGATTTCAACGTCATGTTGGAAATTTACTTTGGCTGTCGAGTCGAATATTTGATTGAATTTCACTTCGGATGTCGGAAAATTTGTATGTTTAGGCATCGTAAGTAGAGGTTCTGCTGTAGTAGGAGAAGTTGGACTTGGTCTTGGGTACAGACTGGAGGGATTCTGAGCACCAGAGCTAAGTGTTCAGTCGTGTTTCCCAGCTGTGAGAGCCGACTGCATGGTCATCTTTAGGGTGCAGCTCTCCTCTCTGGACCTTTGTGCCTCAGTAGCCTCGTCCTGTTGGCAGAGCAGCACCCGGCCTGGGTTTGGTCTGGCCCGAAATCAGAGGGTGAGTCAGACGCCCGTCTGAGGAGCTTCCTCTCAGAGTGGAGGTCAGGGTTCATCGAGGAAGGGTCAGAGACAGCCCCGCTGGGATGAGCCTGCTTTGTAGTACTCCGCCTGGTTTCAGTTCACTGTGCTCACTACTCGTTACGTTGTACTACCCTGCTGTGGAAAGTCCAGATCCCCTAGAATGCAGCCCCCCGTATGAGCCCACTGTGTGCACGCCGCGGTTCCACTGCTCCGTTTGTCATGGTGGCACGTCGGCTGGAAACCGTCTCCATGGGAACACTGCTCCTCACACGTCAGCCCACGATGGGCAGACCGGGAATTTATGGCTGAAAGTCGTGGGGAAAGTGGACAGAAGTCCATCCAAACTGCCCCCCCCCCATCTCATTGGGATTTTGTCCTTGTTTCCAGCAGATGCCAAGCTGTCAAAGAGGAGGCAGCCTTTTGTGCCATACGCTCTGCGCAACCACACCGGATGCACCATGTGGTTTGCCACCCTGACCACTACTCCCACAAGGTTTGTCCCACCATGACCCCTCATGTACCAGAACCGAAAACCATCGACTGGGTGAAATGGGGAGACTGACTTGAGCATGCAGGCTGTTTGATCTGGTATAGACTACTCAGAAGAACCTTCTGGATGTCCCAAAGTCCTGAAATGGACTCCGACATCCATCAATCCAGTGAAAGTTAGAATTTCAACATGGAGAATATGACCTGTTTCCACATCCAGCCTTTCTGAAACCATTTCCTGGGCATTAGTTTCTTAAAGTGCACATCTCAGACGGCTGACTGCTCAGCACTAAGGTGGCTGGTGCAGGGCTCTCTGTGTAGGGGGGGGGCATCGTGTGTGAGTGTGTCCGTGCTCAGTCTTGTACTCTGGTGTCCTCTCAGGGTGGCGCTGTCTCATAGCAGCAGCGCGGACTCCATCTCTGAGGTCCACAGCTCGGGTGCTGATGACTCCCACAACGTGAGCCAGTGGAGAGAGGTCCTGCCTGGGGAGGAGGTCCCGTTCGAGTTTGAGGCCCGGGAGAAGCTGCGCCACCGGTACGGTTTGGACTCCTGTGCCTCATGCTGGAGGACAGATTGGGCCCAGGTTTATAGCATGCTACACAGATGGTGTTGGTAGTCCATTTTTCTTAACCATCAGTGTGACTTTGCCTCTGTTAGAGGCAGCACAGTGGTGTAAAAGAGGTTGTAGAGGCATGTCCTCCTCCTGTCTCTCACAGGCTTTGGGAAGAGCCTGTTTTTGACCAAACACAGCAGTGAAAGTACCCCTGAGAAGCAGGACAGGCTCATTTCTGGGGGGTTTCCCACCTGCTACATGGCTCTATGCGCTTTCTTTTTTTTGCATTTCCTCTCACCTCTGTGTTAGGAGCTCACTTTGTAATGCTAAAGCACCTGAGGAGAGCCAAGGCATGAAGGGGGGCTGATTAGTGGAAATGGAGTAAGCCCATGCCTGTGCCGTGAACACACTGCATGTGTGGCAGGTGGCTCTCCTCTCTGTTTTTTCTTTCCTTCGTTTAATGCTTGAAAGAAGGCTTTCAGTTGGATTTGTGCCTGGTGGGGCCTGTGCCCGGTGTCTGTGTCTGTGCTGTGTGCGGCCCCTGAAACCTCCTTGTCTGCAGACACACTCACGAGCTGAAGCTTCACCAGCTGCTGGTTCGGGTCTGCGGATGGGAGCAAGTGAAGCCCGTGTCCGTGGACAAAGTGGGCATTTTCTTTCGTTACGCAGCTCCAGACAGGACCAACTCTTCCAACACAGTGAGCAGACCTGCCACTCGATGCAGAATCTGTGTCCAGCTCCCAGGATTTCCTCACTTAGCTGTCTTTTCCCCCTGCTGTCTCACAGGTGGGCAGCCCCATCAGCAGGACCAACATCATCCACCCTCATGTCTATGTAAGTCATACCCCGTCCAAATGGGCCAGCATGGTAAAAACATCTGTGGAGGCTGTGGCTTCATGTCTGGAGTGACCAAAGGTCCTCTTCTGCCTGTTTTGGGGCGTCCAGAGGGGGATGAGAAATTCATGAAAATGTTTTCACTGTTTTTCATGGGACCAGAATCACTTAACTCCACTGGCGCTTTGCACAAAATACTATGATACCTTGAGGGATTGCCTTGTGGGGGGGGGTCAAGCGAGACACACTCACCCCACACGCACGCACACACACACGCACACACACACACACAGGGAGCAGAGCAACCAGCAATGGAGACAGAATACCCAAACCAAAGTGCAGCTTCAGAGACGAACTGCAAAAAAAAAAAGTCCCACGTATCATTCCGGTCTGGACAAGTGGGATAAAAAGGTGTTAAACTTAGTAGAGATCCTTTATGTTTAGTTTGTATCGTTGTGAGACTGTTTCATTTATTACATTAAGGGGTATTAAAAAGTATTTTGTTGAAGCTGCATTTTCTAATCCAGACGAGGTCATATTCAGAACATTATTTGATTTTATTGATGTATTTTAAAGGAGGGCTACAATTTTGTTACTGGTTGTTACTGGTTGGGTTTTACTACCGAAGTTCTTTTGGTACCATTGAGGTCTAATAAAGCCTGTTCATTAACATCTGGGAAGCCTGTCTGGATCCGTCTGGAGGCAAAGTGTCCTCCTTTTTGGAAATCAAAATATGGTCACCCCATTCCTGTCAGCACCAATCACCCTTGACGAGAGCGGCCTGTGAGTGAATCTGTGTGTCCCCTCAGTTTTCGGCCCTGCCTCCTGTCAGGGTTGTCTTCGCCATCACAATGGAGGGAAGTGCAAGGAAGGTCATCACTGTGCGCTCGGCCCTCATGGTGAAGAACCGGCTGGATGCTCTGATGGAGGTCCGACTGGACAGTCCCTCCGCACCCGACAGTAAGCCTCCGCTTTGGCCCTCCTGGGGAACAAATCCCCACATGCTCTCTTTGTGGCATTTCTAACGAATCCCCCCATCCCTGCTTCCACAGAGCCGGTGGTGTTGCCTCCCATCTTGCCCGGGGAGGCTCTGGCCATCCCTCTCCATCTGACCTCCTGGAGGCTGCAGGCCCGGCCCAAAGGCATGGGCTTGTTCTTCTGTAAGGCTCCCATCCACTGGACCAGCGTGGAGCGGCCGGGGGAGATCAGCAGCTCTAAAAGGGAGTGTCAGACTGCAGACGTGGAGGACAGCCCCAAGGGTAACTTCAGGTATGGAGCCAGTTTGGCCGTCCCTCCGGACAATTCTCCATCCTCGGTTAACTGTGTGCTCTTCAGAGATAAAGTACTGGAGTAGAGGAGTGGAGTAGAAGTACAAGAACTATATAAAAAATTGACTTGAGTAAAAGTTGAAGTATTCTTTCAACACCATACTTAAGTGGAACTACGGAAGTAATCCTTTTTTTTTTAACTTAAGTATTGCAAGTAGAAGTATTTCAAAAATTGCTACTCAAGTATTGAAAGTAAGAGTATAAGTAAAAGTATAAATACTGTGTATATTCAAAAAATGGCAGTCAAAAGTTTGATAGATATTGTTTATATTATTTCAAACGTGTGAAATGCCATACAGGTCTTTACAAAAAACAGAAAAGAAAACACAAATAAAACATCTCAAAAGGCCAGAGGGGCGAGTTAAGCCTGGTGGAGAACCTTATGATGGAATAGCCCAGAAGCATGAAGCCCTCCATCAACAGGCTAACCATGGCCCCCAGGTCGACTTAACCAGGTTTGTCTCTTAACCGGCTACTGGGAATTCCCCCAGTAGGTCACACACAATTTCCCAATCTTTCGTGAGGCTTTTTTATAGGCTATTCTTGATCGCTCAAATCACCCAATGAGGAGCCGGCTTCCCAAACCCTGACAGAGCTATCTAGAGTACTGGCTCTGACTCTATGACTGGGGATGATTCATTACATTTACATATCAGTAACGAGTAACAATTCAGCCTGTGAAAGAAAAAGTATTAAATTAATCAGAAATATGTAGTGGAGTAAAAGTAAAAGTAGGTAAAAAAATATATACTCCAATAAAGTACAGATACTGCATTTTGGTACTTAAGTAGTTGTACTTGGTTACTGTACATCTCTGGTGCTCGTTGCAGGTTTTGTGTGGTCATCAAGAAGGAGAACTACCCGGAGCAGCAGCCCGCTAAGAGGCAGGCGTCTGGCGGGGCGCAGCAGATCTACCGGCAGCCGGGCCACACCGTCTACCTGCTGCCCACCATGGTGCTGCACAACCTGCTGCCCTGTGACCTCAGCTACTACATCAAAGGAACGGCCATCCTAGGCACCCTGAAGCCGGGGAAGGAAGCCGTGCTCCACTCGGCGGACACCTCGCAGAACATGGAGCTGGGTGAGCGGCCTCTTCCTAGGCTCCTCCCTCACGCAGCACCTTTTCCTCCATCACACCGGTCATGTTTTTCTGTAGGAGTGCTGCTGGAGAGTTTCCCTGTTTGCAAGGAGCTGCTGATTCCACCGGGCACTCAAAACTACGTGGTGCGCATGAGGCTGTACGACACCAACAAACGGCTGCTGTGTCTCACCATCCGCATCATCCTGCTGGCTCAGGGGGCTCTGAAGATTCTGATATCCTCCCCCTACTGGCTCATCAACAAGACTGGTACCGTTTGCGCTCCCAGCCGCAGCCTTACTGCTTTGGGCTTCCCTTTTCCCTCCCCTAACTCCTCTTTGATTCCTCAGGCCTGCCCTTAATATTTCGTCAGGACAATGGGAAGACGGACACGGCGGGGCAGTTCGAGGAGCACGAGCTGGCCCGCAGCCTGAGCCCCCTACTCTTCTGCTACACCGACAAGGAACAGCCTGCCATGTCAGTGTCTCTGCCCGGAGTCTGTCCCCAGTGCGTCCACTAGCTGATGGGCTGTTTCTTCCATGAACCCTCCTCTAGGTGCACCATGCGGATCGGGAAAGGAATCCACCCGGACGGAGTTCCAGGCTGGTGCCAAGGCTTCTCCTTAGATGGAGGGAGTGGGGTCAGAGCAGTGAAGGTGATCCAGCATGGGAACAGGCCCGGACTCATCTACAACATAGGTAGGCTGCTCCTTAGAACCAGAAGCCCGGACCCGTCCTGACACACAGTGATCCCTCGCTACTTCACGGTTCAAATTTTGCGGACTCGCTATTTCGCATTATTTTAATAAATATTCATGTAAAAAATGATCCCTGTATTGTCGCTATTTTGAGTAAATAACCATTAACCCTGCGTATGAACGGGGCCGGCCTCCGTACTTATGCCTGGCTCTGCTCTGTACCTGTGTACGGGTTCTTCTGACTCCTCCATCTCGCTCCTGTCAGACAACAAAAAAAAAAAACGTTAATTCCAGAAATGTATCATCTGAAGTTAAGGCCTTAATTTTGACATGCCTAATATATATTAGCGTAAATATACAGTAGCATCACTACTTTGCGTTTTTTCACTTATCACGGGTGGTCCTGGAACCTAACAATTGCCATAAGAGAGGGATCACTGTACACACAATCTGCTGGCTTTAGGTCTGTGTTGGAGGTTTGTTTTGCTCTAACCTTTCCAAACTCCTCCACTCAGGGATCAGCGTGCGTAAAGGAAGAGGTCACTACAGAGACACACACATAGTGACATTTGCTCCACGCTACCTGCTGGACAACCGCTCCACCCACAAACTGGCCTTTGCTCAGAGAGAGTTTGCCAGAGGAAAGGTGAGAATGGTGTTCTGCCGATGCTCCTCTGTGATAGAGCTTCAGAAGCTTTGTTTCATCCTGGATGATCCAGAACCAGCCGGCTCCCGAGGCCTTTTGGCTCTGAGCTCATCGTCTGTGCAGTTGCATCCACAAGTAGTCCATCAACAGAACATCACCGTGTGCTGTGTTAAAGGGGGCGGCCAACCCAGAGGGCTACATCTCCACCCTGCCGGGCTCCAGCGTCGTCTTCCACTGGCCCAGGAACGACTATGACCAGCTGCTGTGTGTGCGCCTCATGGACACGCCCAACTGCACCTGGTCAGGAGGCTTCGAGGTCAACAAACCAAAGTCCTTCCACGTCAACATGAGGTGAGCCAAACAAAGTCCTGCTGGAGGAAAGGAAAGTGGAGGAGAAAAGGTCCTCGGTCATTCAGGTTTGGTTTGCCAGCCTCGCATGCTGCTCATGGTTGTAGATTGTGAAGTTGTTCAAAGCGAGCCGGACCCTGCACCACAGTGTCGTGCACTATCTGAGGGGCTCAGAGTGCGTCTCTGTTGGAACAGGGACACGCTGGGGAACTGCTTCTTCCTGCGGACGGAGATCACCCTGAAGGGAGCCACCTACCAGATCTCCTTCACAGACACTGACCAGCTGCCTCCCCCCCTCCGCATCGACAACGTCTCAGAGGTACACCAGTGTCACACACACACACACACACAGTCGGCTCCTCCAGAGGCAGCACCGCTGCAGACTGTGGTTTCCCCCCCCTCAGGTGCCCATCCAGTTCTGGCAGCACGGCGTGGCGGACATCCGGCTGCACACGGAGGTGAAGGCCCTGTCGGTGCTGGACTACGCCTGCGACGAGCCCACGCTGCCCCCCTACCTCACGCTCACCGTGAAGGGGGCGGGCTCGTCCGAGGTCACGGCCGACATGAACTTCTTCAGGGAGTACAACAAACTCTACTACGAGAACTTCATCTACATCGCGGCCAGGCACACCTTCTCACAGTAGGGGCCAGCGCGCCGGCCGGACGCCCACCCTCCCCTCCACCCTCCCCCCCCAGCCGGGCACACGGCTCACAGCCTCCTCTGGTCTGTACAGGAATGCTGAGCGGAGACCCGTTGGGAAGAAGCACGTGGTGAGCTGCGCCGAGCTGGTCCTGGACGTGGACACCAAGACTCAAAGGGTCATCCTCAGGAAGAAGGTAAGGGGCAAAGAGAAGTGGTAGCAGTTTCTGCATGGTTCCCCAGCAGCCTCAACAACAGGAGAGACCATCTGTTCTGGCATTTCTAGAAAATAAACACTAGATTTTCCTACTCTATTCTTGATTTAAATGGCAAAGAAGGAAACAAAAGTGTCAAAGATTCTCTGCGCAGCAGACATTCTTGTCCAAGTTGTTGGACTGTTCAGAGTAATGAGGGATTTCCCCTGGAAACGAAACGGCGGCCCGTCTTTAATCAGCCCAAAAAGTCTCTGTTCATTGAGCCTCACTGGTTACCCCCGGTTACCTCTGGTTACCTCTGATTATTCCCGATTACCCCTGGTTACCCCAGGCTACCCGCATCAAATTCAAGTCCCTGATGCTGGTCTACAATGTGATTAAGGGTCCGGCTCCCGTCTACTATAACCCTCTTTCAAAGGCTCATATCCCAGCCCGTCCCTCTGGTCATCAGTGGGTTCTGGTCCAGCAGAGCTGCTCCACGTTAAGACAATCAGACTGTTTTCATCTGCTGGTCCAAGATGGAGGAAGGAGCTACCAGCAGGTCCCTGTCTGTCTTTAGGAAACTCCTCCAGACCCCCCCCCCTCTCCACAGAGCAGCTCCTATCCTAACTCCTCCAGACCTCTGGACCCTCTACTCCTCTTTCTGTTCTTCCCTCTCTCTCTTTGCTGTCTCCACTGATTCTGACTGGGGGTTTTCCTCTAGAGAACTTATGATAACTTGGAACATTGTGTCTACTTTGTAAGTCTCTTTGGATAAAAGCGTCTAAATGCAGAAACATGAACGAGGGCCAGGACAGACCCCTGTGCAGCCGGTAATGATGTTCCGGCCCTCTGCTTGCCGACAGGAGCCGGGGAAGCGCTCCCAGCTGTGGCGGATGACGGGGGCTGGCATGCTTTGTCACGAGGGCTCCTCGCCGCCCCAGAGCAAGCCGGCCCAGCCGCGGCCTCTGGACTCCTCGCTGGTGCTGGACATCGCCGGGCTGGCAGCCGTCAGCGACAACAGGTGGGCGCCGTGCGGCCGCCGGACTCCCCGCGGGTCATTAAAGCCACGCCCTGCTGATCCGGGCTCTCTCTCTGCCTCCTGGTGTCGCTCAGCTTCGAGCCGCTGATGCTGCGGAGGCCAGACTCCCGGCGCAGCACCACCCAGACCTGGTACTTCAGCTCAGGCATGCTGACCTGCGGCCTCCCTCGCCTCGTGGTCCAGGTACACGCGCCCTTCCTGTCTTCTCAGTGCCCCCACTGCACAGTTCCCACAGCCTCGCTTGTCCAACAACAGGTGAAAGGTGGCGTGGCGGGCCTGTACGACGGGGCGGAGGTGGTGCTGGGACCAGATTCAGGTCTGATGGAACCGGGCCCTCAGCAGCAGTTCATCAACCAGAAGATGAGGCCGGGGTCTGGGGTGCTGTCGGTCCAGGTGCTGCCTGACGGGCCCACGCGGGTCCTCCAGGTGAGAGCACAGTTCTGCCTACGCACTCCTCTCTGCGTCACAGACAAGAGGAAGGACACAGATCTGCAACCTGATTCATGACCCACTATTCAGTCATTATGCAGGAGATCTGATAGGATCATTCTCAGCACGTGTGACATCACAGGGATGACAGAATATTTAGCTAAGTCATTTCAAATAACGGGACCTATTTTTTCTGATTGAATCACCCACCATCAGCCATACACAATCATCAGCTGCGTCAAAGGAAATGTATAACGATAGAAGTATGAAAGAAGTTTCCCAGTTTGTTTAGCTCAGTCTGAACACTGGACTCTGCCTTCTGCTCTGATGTCTGCTTATGTGAGAATGTTCTGGTAAAAGGGTACTCTTCTGGCACCTGATGGAAAAACTGCCGCTTGCCTCTGTTTCCAGATCAGTGACTTCAGCCAGAGGAGGACCGCCCGGAGCTCAGCCAGCTCAGAGCAAGAGCGGAGCAAAGAGGCTAGACCGAAGGCGGAGCCTGAGAAGGAGCTGGAGGTGAGAGCACTCGCAGGAGTGTCTGTGCTGCTACTATCCTATCAGTAGGTCACAAAGGAAACTAAACACATCACCATGCAGAAAGAGATACAGGAGAAAAAAAACCTCTGCAATCCAAGAATCTAAGAGAGACGCTTTGAAAGGTAGAAGCAGAAAGATTTAGCATGTATTTAGGGGTCAGCACCTCCTGGGCAGAGCAAATCTTCTTGTGGACCATCCAGTAAAATGCCCAGATTCAGTGAGTCAGCCTGTCCACCCTGCATGACATGTGCTCTGACATGTGACGGTGTCTGGGACAGGTTTTGGTCAGCCTGGAGGAGGGTCTAGGCGTGTCTCTGGTCAACAAAGTTCCCGAGGAGCTGGTGTTTGCCACGCTGTCCGGTGTGGACGTCCACTTCACTCGCACCGAGGCCAACGAGGTGTTGGAGCTGAGCATTCAGAACATCCAGGTGAGCTTTCCTCTTCCATCTGCCCGTCGGTGTCACCCCAGCCCCCGGCAGAGTGCAGAGGCCTCTGCCGTCCATATAGGGAGCGGTCACCATTAAGCCAGACTTCTGTAATTATAGTGGAGATCCAAGAGTCGGAGAACGAGCCACACGTCCTCTGCTCCATTAGGAAACCTCAGTTTTCCCCATATCGTTCAGTTTAAGTTCAGTGGAATGTCAGCTCTCTTGTTATGGTGCCACAGAAAATCTCTGACCCCAACAGGAAAATGAAGGGGAAAGAAAGAAGGCTGTACAACATACCCGAGGGCTCCTGTGTGAGCTGTATTCCTCCTGGTAGGCAGGAGGCCCTGTGGCCTCCCAGACCTGAAGGAGAACATCAGTCAGCAGCTAGAGCTTGTTTTTTTTTTTTAAGTTTAAAACCTTGTACTGTTCAGCATTATGGCAGCAGAACTGACAATGCTGAACACCTTTGCTTTGCCAAGGGGGGCTTTGTTGGTGAGAAGCCCCCCTTGATAACCCAAAACTCCTTTATTTATTCATTTTTGTTACCAAACTTACGTGTCCAATAATGCTGGATCGGACAGTGGGACAGCAGAAATAAGAGCAGTGGGAAAGAGAGAGATCCTTTAGACCGAAAGAGTAAGAAAAAAATAAAAGAAAGACAACAAGACCATACAACCAAGTCTGTAAACAATAAACAGTTCCTTGTGGGTCATCAAGGTGGAGAACCTATAGTTGCTCCGACAGAAGCTGTCAGAAGCCGCTGGTGCTCCTCCTGAGCCTGCCTTCTGCCTGTAGCTGTCAGCTGAATGTGAGGGGGGGTGTGTGTGTGTGTGTGTGTGTGTGTGTGCTGCTGAAACCCCTGCCGGTGCTTGACCCGTGCTGTGGCGGTTCCCAGGTGGACAACCAGCTGCTGGGCACCACCCAGCCCGTCATGCTGTGCGTGACTCCCAGCTCCGGCGAGGCCGGCGTCAGCGACAGCGGCCCGGCCCTGCAGGTGAACTCGGTCAAAGTCCCCAGCAGGCTGATGCTCACAGACCTCTTCAAGGTGAGCCTGGACGCACACGCTGACCCGCACACGCTGGACGCACACGCCTCAGCAGCCAGGAGGCCGCTGAACGCCACCCGCCGGTGTGGTCGCACCAGAGATAAACAGTAGCCAAGTACAACTACTTAAGAACTGTACTTAAGAGCCAAAACACAGTATCTGTACTTTATTGGAGTATATATTTTTATATCTACTTTTACTTGTACTCCACTACATATTTTTGATTAATTTAATAGTTTTACTTTTTCACGGGCTGAATTGTTACTCGTGACTGATATGTAAACGTAATGAATCATCCCCAGTCATAGAGTTAGAGCCAGAGCTGGAGATAGCTCTGTCAGGGTTTGGGAAGCTGGCTCCTCATTGGCCGATTTGAGCCATCAAGTATAGCCCCTCTAGCCTTTTGAGATGTTTTATTTGTGTTTTGTTTTCTGTTTTTGTAAACACCTGTGTGGTCTTTCACACGTATGAAATAATATAAACAATATCTAGCACACTTTTGACGGCCTTTCTTAAATATACACAGTACTTGTACTTTTACTTATACTCTTACTTTCAATACTTTAGTAGCAATTTTTGAAATATTTCCACTTGAAATACTTAAGTAAAAAAAAGGAGTACTTCCGTACTTCCACTTAAGTCTGGTGTTGAAAGAATACTTCTACTTTTACTCAAGTAAATGTTTTTATATAGTACTCGTACTTCTACTCCAGTACTTTCTACATCTCTGGTTCGCAGCACCTGATGGTGACGGCGCGCCGCTTCACGGTCATCATCGAGGAGAAGCTGCTGCTCAAGCTGCTCAGCTTCTTCAGCTACGGGGACGCAGAGGCTGGTGGGTCCCACGTCCTCCTGAGCTCTTACCCCTGTGTGTGTCCTCAACTAAAAGGATGAACCCTTGTTGTGCCGAACACAGAGCTGGAGAAGCTGGATGAGAGCCTGCACGAGAGGCCCAGTGAGGTAGCAGGACCTCTCAAACGCTACTACTTTGAGAACCTGAAGATCAGCCTCCCCCAGGTCAAACTCAGCGTCCTCACCTCTCACAAGCTGCCGCCAGACCTCAAGGTGCCCTCATGTCCTGCATCCACTCTCTAACCCTAACCCTGCACAGGTGGAGCATAATCTGCATGTCCTACCGATGCTGTTTCTCTCCACAGGCCCTGAAAGGCACGCTGGGCTTCCCTTTGGTTCGCTTTGAGGACGCCGTCATCAACATGTACCCCTTCACCAGAGTGCACCCCTACGAGACCCAGGAGATCATCATCAATGACATCCTCAAGCACTTCAGAGAGGTCAGGAACACCGCTCCTGTAGGGGGGGTCAGTCTTAATGACAGACTGAGGGGGTACAGGCTGCTTACAGCGTGAGGAGCTCAATGCTGACTGACCATGAACTGCATCGGATAAAAGGAGGGCGCAGCTGTTTTTAAACATGGTCTTTGTGTGTTTAATGGCTGATTAGGAGAAGCTTTCAATGCATTCTACACACACTTTGTGCAAAGTTATAAAGTACTCTCACAATCCCTGTGTTGACACTGTTCAGCATACCTCTAGTGTTATTTGTGAGAATGCCTTCTAGACATTCTCACTATTGTTTTCCTATTTCTCTTTATTATTCTTTATTCCATATGTTGTTCTGCGTCTAACTATATCCATAGTTTTCAGCCGATTTCAACAAAGAAGGTATCAAAATGTTCAGCTTCTGCGGGACATAGTAGCTCTGACTTTTGGTGTTAAAATCTTTTCAACTTTTTAAATGACTCAACTTTTCCTGCTTTTTATTTCTCATTGAAATGAATGGAGCAAAAAGTCTGGCTCCATTTTCTGGTGTTTATAAGATCATTGAAATTTCAGCTCCTTCAAATTTTTGTATTATATGTATTCCTCTGTGGCCACGTTAGAGTGGGGTATAGCTCAGTGGTAGAGCGTTGGACTGCAGATTAAGAGGTCTCTGGTTCAAATCCCATTAGGATTTTTTGGTACCTTACTGATCATTTCATGGCCTTTTACCTTTTTTTTCTTCCTCTAATCCTTTTGCTATTCTTCTTCCACTCTTCAGTTTGTCTTCAGCCATTATTTTTTTACTTTCCACTGCCTTTTTGCCACATTTCAGTGTCCTCTTTTGCTGATGGTTTCTGTCTTTTTCAGCTTTTCTTTGGCATCTTCTGGGTCCTCCCTTCAGCATTAGGCATTCTCATAGCTCTTTCACAGGGGCAGCCCTTTCTAGTTTGTCTTCATTTTGCCGGCGGTGGGGGTTGGGTTAGTGCTCTCTGTGGGTCCCACCTGTGAACCCGTGTTTGTGGGTTTTTGTGCACTCTGCTGGAAATCTGTGTTGACCACGTTGCGCTCTTTCCTCTCTGCAGGAGCTCATGAGCCAGGCTGCTCAGATACTGGGCTCTGTGGACTTCTTGGGGAACCCCATGGGCCTCCTCAATGACGTCTCCGAGGGCGTGTCTGAGCTCATCAAGTACGGCAACGTGGGTGGTCTCATCCGCAATGTGACCCACGGCGTGTCCAACTCTGCTGCCAAGGTATGGAGCTGCTCCCATAACCCACCGGGCTCTACGTGGCCCCTCTTATGTCTCCGGTTTCTACCCGAAAAGGACAGCTCCAGAAACATGTGACCATAGAGAGAGCCTCTGTTTGGCCTCTGTGTGTTAGTTTGCAGGGACTCTATCGGACGGGCTGGGGAAGACCATGGACAACCGGCACCAGAGTGAGCGGGAGTACATCCGATACCACGGAGCCACCAGTGGAGAGCACCTGGTGGCAGGGATCCACGGCCTGGCTCACGGTAGGAGTTGGAAGTACAGCAGAACCACTGCTTACGGCTTAAACATACAAATTTTCAAACATCCGAAGTGAAATTTGATTAAATATTCGACCTCAAACCTGAAGTAAATTTCCAACATACGTATGACGTCGAAGTCATACAATAATATATGTAAAATATAAAAATAAATTGGTTTAAAGTTCCTGTAGTAAAGTGAGAATAAGTTAGTGTATGTCCTGTATCTCAGCCTATTTTTCCATATCTCTTATATAAGTCATTTGTTTTATTTCTATGTGTAATTATCTGCAGTATTTATTAAGGAACCAATTATACAAATTACAGTGTATTCTGATGGGAATATTTGAACCAACATACCAATATTTTAACACAGGAAGTAGGTCCTGGAACCAGTTAAATTTGAATGTAGAGGTTCTACTGTCTCTGCTCAGCACAGTGACACAGAGAGAGCGTGTCACTGTTTTTTTTTTCCATCTACGGATGGAAAAGCTATGGATCCAGAACCTTTTTCTTTTCCCCACACAATCTCAACCGATACTCTTTATATGGCTGCCCACATCTTAGAAAGCAGGATGTGAGGGTGGAGGAGGGCTGCTTACCATTTACCATTTAGCAGCAGCACCTTGTTTTCCAGTCCTCTGTTTCCTTTGAGCTTCCTCTAACCTCTCTCTGTCGTCCAGGGATCATTGGCGGCATGACCAGCATCATCACCTCCACAGTGGAGGGGGTGAAGACGGAGGGGGGAGTCAGCGGTTTCTTCTCTGGGCTGGGCAAAGGTCTGGTTGGCACCGTGACCAAACCGGTTGCGGGGGCTCTGGACTTTGCGTCAGAAACAGCCCAGACGGTGCGGGACATGGCCAGCCTCAGCAATCACAGGTGGGCCCCCTGGCTTGCTTTCTTCAGGTGGACGCAACCCCCCCCACTATAAACATACAGAAACATTACGCAATATAGGCGCGCCCAAACACGATCACGTTGACAGCACAAATACAGCGATCCCTCTGGTTATGTTCCAGGACCACCGCAAAGTAGTGATATGCCATATTTACTTTAATATTTATTCATTATGTTAGTAGTTATACACTATTTTAAGTTTTTTAAAGCCTTCCCCAAACACTTGTACTCTACATAACACTTTCCCACTGGACCCGTTTCTTTTAAAACCCGCCTTAAATGTTCATTTAGCGTTCTCTGGTTGGTCTCTTCCACCAGTCCACCAATCAGGTGCTGTGTAAAATCTGACGTGTGCCAGTAGCATCTCAGGAAGCCAATGTGTGTTCATACGCAGGGTTATTGGTTATTTACTCACTACTGGACTGGATTCTTTTAGTTTTACAGTGAAATGTTTGTAATACATTTTGATACATTTTGTGATGTTTAATGCAAATTTTGTAACATACACACATCACTGTTCAACACGTGCTACGCATGTGTACGGCAAAAAACGGTAAAATAGCAAAAATACAGCGATAATATTTTACTTGACTATTTATTAAAATAACGCAAAATAGTGAGTCCGCAAAATCCCCGGGGACTCCAACCCAGAACCCTCTGGCAGAAAGGTCCTGGTTCCCCCGGGGAGTTGAACCCAGAACCTTCTGGGAGGGGATGGTGCTGACCACCACACCACCGTGCCGCCCCAATTGTTTTTAAATTTGTATTTTATTTCTGGAAATAAACTTGCGACCCCCCTGTGTCTGGCTGGCTGTGGGTCCCGACCCCCCCTTTGAGGCGTGTGCGGCCCCCCCGGTGCCCTGCTCAGTGCTCTGTGCTGCTGTGTGCTGCAGGCTGGGCGTGCAGCGCGTCCGGAAGCCTCGCTGCTGCAAGGGGCCCCAGGGCCTGCTGCCCCGCTACTCGTCCACGCAGGCCGACGGCCAGGAGCAGCTCTTCCGCCTGACCGACAACATCCACTCCGAGCTGTGAGTCCTCCGCCCTCACGCTCACACAGGTGCCCTCACGTGCGCGCCCGCTCTAAGGCCTCTCCCACTCCAGCTTCATCGCGGTGGAGCCCATCGACAGCTACTGCGTCCTCATCTCCTCCAAGGTGGTCTACTTCCTGAAGCCGGGGGACTACGTGGACCGGGAGGGCATCTTCCTGGAGGTGAAGTACGACGACCTGTACCACTGCCTGGTGTCTAAGGACCACGGGAAGGTCTACGTGCAGCTGACCAAGAAGGCCGAGAGCACCAGCAGCGGGGTGGCTATGCCCGGCCCCTCCCACCAGAAGCCCATGGTGAGCTGGGGGCGGGCGGGGGGGGTCATAGGGGCATAGGCTCCCAGGGGACAGAAAGCAGATATCTGGTATATTCAAGTAGATGTAAATCTAAATGCACTTATATGTTGCTTTTCTAGTCAGGCTGACCACTCAAAGCACTTTACACTACGTGTCATCTAGGGTTGTCACGATACTAACATTTTCAACTCGATACGGATACTCAGGAAAATATTCGATACTCGATACCATTTTCGATAGGATAAAAACAAAGACCCCAAAATGTAAGAAAAGAAATTAAGGAAGGTTAGGTTTCAAACTGACCTGTTACTGATTTTATTGTGGCCGGTGGCCCGCATTAATGACCCTGACCCTAATCCTAACCCTCCATCCTTCATAATTGTGAGAACTAAATATTTTTTGGTTAAACTTGTTTGGACTTATTGTACAAACCTATTTAACATCCACTATTTTAACATAATATTATGTATATAGTTTAATTCAGTGTTTGAAAGAAGTATTTCACTATTTTTAAATTCATGTCTATATTGCCATGAAGCAATTAGGATTTTCTTGCCTGGGATCTTCCTACTGGTGACCTAATCAAAATGGCCGACTTGGATGTGGGGGAGTTGGATATCCATCCTTCGCTTCCTGCAGTCCGCAGCCAGATGGACTTGATTCATGTTGGCGTGTTATTATTATCCATTAGCCGCAGCTAGCAATTCAAGGCTAACATCACGTTAGTGTTGAATTGCCGGGGGGGGGGTATCGATACTTTTGAAAATGAGTATTGTATCTGCATACAATGTTTAAGTATCAATACTTTTGACAACCCTAGTGTCATCCACCATTCACACACACATTCACACACACATTCACACACACGTTGCACCAGTGGACACACCAGATGCAACCAGTGGGTAACTTGGGGTTCAGAGCCTTGCCCAGGGACTCTTGGACATGTGGTCTGGAGGAACATGGAGCTGAACCCCTGACCCTCCAATCAGTGGGCAGCTGCTCTTTCCTCCTGAGCCACCCCGGCAGCCTCTGGCCGGCGGTGAGGAGCCTCACCCTCTCCTCTCTCCTCTCCCCTCCGCAGGTTCACGTGAAGAGCGAGAGCCTTGCAGTCAAGATCTCTCAAGAAATCAACTATGCCAAGAGCCTGTATTACGAGCAGCAGCTCATGCTGCCCGCCAGTGAGAACGAGGACTCTTTGCTGCTGGAATCCTGATTAGGACTTCCTCAGAATGGACCCGGAGAGGCCTCTCCGCCCCCGGGGGGGCGGCAGGTCTCGGCGTTTTGTTGGATTTGACGCACCTGAGGTCAGACGTTGAACAAAGCACACTCGACTTGGAGAAGCCAAGTATGGCCTGGCTGGCCCTGTGGGCCACAGAACCCCCACCCAGCGCGTACACAGGTATCCAACCCCCGCACGGGCCAATAATGTGAACTCTAACTGCCTTTACAGCTCTATTTTGTGTACCAGACTATCAAAGACAGGGAGAGCGAATTGCACTGACACAGGGAAGGGATGGACCTCTCTGACTGTGGAGTTACCTGCCACTGGCTGCTCTGCCTTTTCCACTCACAGACAGGTCCGTCTCATCTCTCTGCTTGTATTTAATAAAGTTTTTTAACGAGCCCTGTTTTGTTTGTAGAAGACATGCTGTGTGGCCTGTCAGGGGTCGGGTGGGGACTCCACCTGCATCAAATAAAGCACCAGACTGCAGCACTCTCTGTGACCCCTGTCTTTTCCTGACCACACCTGGACCACTGAGCGGCTCCAGCTGTTTACTGTGTCTGCTGCCATACGGATGGCTCTTCCTTTGCTGCTTTTGCTGCTTTTTTCCTTATTTCCTGTGAGGGAACACACCGTTTTATGCGGGGCGTCACAGAGCCACCCTTCTCTACCGGTTCCATTAGTATCTGAGTGCCTGAAACATCTCCATGCAGACACTGGAGGACCTCAGCCTCCTTCACAAGTCCAGTCCACTATGTGCCGCCTTGCAGACGGTCCCGGTGCTGCAGGTAAATAATACAGTAGAACCTCTACATAGGAGTTTAATTAGTTCCAGGTCCTACTTCTATATTAAATATTGGTATGTTGGTTCAAATCTTCCATCAGAATACACTGTAATTCCTAGAATTGGTTCCAAAAACCTACGATAATTCCTTAATAAATACTGCAGATAATTACACACAGCAATGAAACAAATTCATTATAAAAGACATATGTAAAAAGAAACAAATTATAAAGAAATAATCAATAAAAAGCTGATTTTATTGGCAGTTATGGGCAGACTGAGATGCAGGACAAACCCTAACCTACTCTATCTGTCACTATGTGAAGTTTAAACTAACTTGGCTTATTTATTTGTATTTAACTTTTAGATTTTATATATATTTTCTATGACTTCGACATCATTCATTCTTATGTTGGAAATTTACTCCGGGTGTCCAGTCGAATATTTGATTGAATGTCACTTTGTGATTTGGAAAATTGGAATGTTTAGGCTGTCGTGGGCAGAGGTTCTACTGTACAGTACGTGGCAGATAACAGGAAGAAGGATCCATCTTACCACTGGAGCTGGCTTGGCTCCTGCAACGATGCACACCAGAGTAAAGTTCTGGGCTTCATAGCGGCTGAACGGGGCCGGGCTGTTGGCTGCCACCACCGAGATAGACTTAGGAGGAACTGTAGAGAAAACACAATCCAAGAAGGGATCACTCAAACATGGACATGGTTGGGACTTGGCTCTTTAGTTTTTTTTAGCTAAAAGTGGATCCCAGGACCGCATTGTTGATCCATGCCGGTGGTCGGAGGCTCAGTCTGGGATCTTGTAGTTGGCCGAATGGCTATTCCATACATGATTCAGCCATGAAAACAAACTGGGCCAAAACAATGGCATACAAACCGATGATGGTGAGGACGATGCTGCTGGAGGCTACAATCACTTTGTCCCTGGAAGTCCTGTCGTAGCTCGCCACGTGGCACTCGTAGTGGCCATCGTCCTCCATGTGGACTTCAGGAAGTCTGGTCACATGGGTTAAAGCGAGACTGGTTTGTCTTTGGCTGTCAACAAAATGCCCTGCTGTTTGAAACTTCTCGTTATTCTTATGGGAAAACCCAACAAGGTTTGTCTCCTGGATTCTCAGCCTTTCAGGTGCAAACCTCGCTAGGTTCCTTAAAACTGTCGGAGTCTCTTACCGGACTGTTGACTGGTAGACCAGGTGGTCATGCCCCTGCACGTCTTCCAGGTGCGAGGAGCTGCTGTTGCACATGGCGTCATAGGTGAAAATCTTTTGCTTGGCCTTGCCTCCGTCGATTACCTGCAATGGACAGTGTCTGCACGCTTCAGCAAACCATATTTACAGGTAAGAGAAGTCCACTGTCTCCTAAGTCTGACCGGTGATTCAGATTCTTCCCTGTGTTTCAAGGAGAGGTCCTTCTTTTGACCTTTTCCTGTTCTCCTGTTTCCTTCTTTGTGGTGAGCTACCACCTCTGACGGACACCCAGCAGACGTGGGCAGACACTTAAAGGTCTGGAAGCAGGAAGCTGCTCTATCTCAGGCTTTCTAAACACAACATGCTTAAGTGCCGTCCTCACTTTAGGGGCGTTGTAATTATGGAAAAGTAAAGTAGGTTTAATGTCTGTGCCGTGGTTTGGAACAATGTTCTCTCCGGTCAGATTTAAGAGAACAGCTCACGAGCATCATCATGACAGACTGCAGAGCTCCTTGATGGGCCCTGAAATAAACTCAACTAAAATAAGAGCCAACACAATCACAGGGAGAACTTAGGAAAGACAACCCAAAAACTCCAACTCATGACTCCAGTCCTATTAGTGAATCTGAGCCAAAGGGAGCTGATTTCTCTGCCTCACAAACGATGTTTAACTTGACACAGACCTTTTTATCCAGCCTCAAAACCTAAATGGAAGAGGACTTAGACATCTCCATCTCGCATTTCTATTCTTAAACTCGTCAACACAAAATAATTGTATGCACGTCACCATCTATTCGGTTTAAGGAGAGCCCACTTAAAAAATCCTAGTGACCTCTTCTCCGTTGTTTTTCCAGGTGTGTTTGTGGTGACGTCCGTCCACATTGTGTCAAAACCTCTGACCAGCAGCTTGTGAAAGTATCCTCACCTGAAACCACACGATCTCCCGGAGGTCACCGTCTGTTTGGAAGTTGCACTTGAGCGTGACTGTGTCTCCGATGACGACGGGAGGAAGAGGCTCAATGGAAACAGTCAGGTACCCTGTCAAATGGAGAAGAATGGAACATATTAGGATTTGAGTTATTAAGCTGCCCAAACTGAGGAGATACTGTGTAACACCAATACAGGGTTAATAACGAGGACACTAAACCACCAATACAGCTTCTATCACTCATTTTCTTTTCCTCCTTATTCCAATTCAGGATTTAGGGAGTTGGAGTTTGGTACCAAGTGTAAAGAAAATCAGTATACAACAACAAGGGTTGCCAGGAAAACTATTGCTATGTCTCAAGTTCTTTGGATTGGTAACCCTGACCCTAAATTCAAATAAAGTCTTTAAGATGAAGGTCTTCTTTTAGTGGGACCTCACATTCAAAAAGCAAGTGCAGGTACTTTGAGGGAGATTCAGGGACTCACACTGAAATATCCAAGTTTCCAAAGATTTCCCGCTCCAGCAGCAGCCTTCAGCTCTTCAAATCTGCCAGAAACCAGATTGTTTTCGGCGGATGCCCCCCTAAACCATCACCCAGAAATGTTTGAACCAGTTGTGTTGTGCTTAGATTCAGTCTGAGGAAAAGGGCTTTTCTGCTATAAAATCCAAACATAACCATGAGCCTTAGTCGTCCATCCTGGAGAGCCGACCGTGTGCAGAGTTGGTCTGGACTCAGAGCAAAGGCACCTTGTGGAGCTGGAGCTGGAGCTGGAGGCCTCTGTCACGAGTCTGCCTCACCTCCAACACCAGGCTGTACTGCATGACATCACCCTGCCCAGAGATTATTTTCCTCCCATGTTTTTGCTCTTAATCCTCCCTGCGGCTTTGCATCCAGAGAGCCGGCCGTTCTCCGGGCTCTGGCCTCCCCGCGCTCGCAAACAATGTGCAGCGGAGATTACCACGCACTGGAATAACACTCAATTAGTTTAAAGGAATGAACCAGCGGTTCAGAGGTCTGTCATAAACAGAAAGGAACCCTTTAAGTGAAGAAAACATGTCTTGGATATTAAGAGATGTTGAAAGTGATATGGCTGTCCCAGATCAGCTTATGGTTGGGACTGGTTTTGAAGGTGACAAAGACAGAAAGGACAATTCCACAGCTCACGCTCTGAAGTGCAAAGTATTTAATGCTCCTGCTCTTCTGCTGTCACTGCTGGGGAGATCAGGCTCAGCCCGGCTGTCAGATCACAGACTCAGTGCCTAAAATGCTCCGCTGCTGTACAAAAGGACAAAAATGGCCTTAGTGGGGATGCTGCGCTGCTCTGAGAGAGCCAGCTAAACCGCTTTAAAACAGAAACACTGCACAGGACCTGCAGTTTAACATCCTTCATTTGCTTTGTAAGGCACCAGTTCTACTCTATAAAGGCCACAGTCTTTAGAAAAGTGCTGAGCAACCTCATTTCTTAGCAGGAATGTTCCAGTGTTGACGTTCCATCGATAAAACCAAACAGGGGGAGGACTCCCTTGGGGAGTTCATCCCTCCAGACGGCCCCCGGGAGCAGAGGCCTGGGGGGCTCCAGCCAGCTGCGGGTGAGTTGAGTGGATACCGGCCCGGGATTAATAATCAGGTTTTTTTTTTCTCTTTTCGTTTGAACAGTCACAAGCATTTAATCGTTTTAAAGTACAGATTACCGTGCGCAATATGGGTCAGAGTCAAACAATGGACTGTTTTATCCCAAAGAGAAAATCACCAAACAACCTTATGTAACATAATGGAAGTGAGCTCAGCGGGAGACAGAGACTTAACACCTCATCTAATACAGCCCCATCACCCTCATAAGCAGGGAGAGGTGTGAGGGACGGGGGGGGGGGGGCAGCCTCTCTCTGTCACCCACCCTATAGCGGCAGCTGTGAGACCCCCGGTACTGTTTATAGGGTTACACCACAAGCACCACACACACTTTGAGCTATGAAACGTTTGAAATAACAGCGAGCAGCAGAGACGTGTCAGGGATTTAGCTTATCCTTCCTAACTTGAACTGCTTAAGTTTAAACAAACCACAAAGAGACACACACGTGTATTCTCTCTTCTGAGAGAATTCTGCAGAGGGGGAGATGCTTATAACTCCACAGCTCCTGCTGCAGCAGTCCGTATCCGTGGTAACGCTGGGGCTGAGGGGACAACTGTTGCTCAGCATACAGTAATGGACATATGGAGAAGTTAAATCCGATATAGTTTTGGGTTAACAGGGAGTGCGTGACCCAAAACGTTCCAAAGTCTAAAACTGAAGTGAGACATAAAACTAAATTGAGAAGTTCACGACCTGAGACATCCCATGTGGTAACAAAGTGAGGCACGACACATTTTCTGCAATAATAACTATAAATCTCTAACTAAATGCATTGGTCAGGTTTGAATGACCGTTCATGCTTTGCCAAATCCCCTGTGCTGCCCTGTGGCTGTGACCCAGGAGGAGTGGGGAAATGTGAGGAGCTTTGTAACCAGTTAGACCTTCACAAACTAACCAGGAGACAATCAGGCCAGCAAGCATCAGAGCTCAGAAAGCCCCCCGCTCTGCCCCTGACCGCTGCCGGGCCAGGGGAACTCCCGGGGGGGCCGTACTCACCCAGAGAGCAGGAGGGGACGGCCAGGAGGAGGAGGCAGAGGCTGAGCGGACCGGTCATCCTGCCGAGGGCCCGCCGCGGCTCCATCCGTGCTCAGGGCGGGGGACGTGGTGGTGGACGTGGTGGGGGACGTGGTGGGGGACGTGGTCGGGGACGTGGTCGGGGCGGGGGCCGGCTCCCATCCTCACAGTGAGGCGGCCGCTCCGCAGCTCGCCATCAGAGGATTAGCGCAGCTCTCCTCCTCTGGCACCAGGCTCCCTCTCTCTTTAAGCCCGGCCTTCTCTCCCCCGTTAACTAACCCCCGCCCGGAGTCTGGAGGCGGGCTGTGTCAGCGTCTGAACGCCCCCCCCCCCCCCCTCGTCTGTGGACATCTGCATAGCGCCACGCACTCTTCAGTTTGATATCAGATATTAAAATATTCCGCATCATGCCCTGAGCTGGAGGGATTTGGGTGGGAGAGAGGAGGTTATAGAGCCGCTGCACACTCAGTGATGCTCTGGGGGGGGGCACTGGGTGTGTTCAGCTTTAGCTTTGGGGTTCTCACTTGGAACACGGACACAGACACAATTCATCGTATTAACTTTTATTTTTCAAAGTGCCAAAAATGTGTGTGTAAATAGTGACAGGGAGCATGGCTCACCATGAATGGTCTAAGAAGCTTTGTCATCATGGGGGAAATGTGCATGTAATACTGCTATTATGGAGAAGAAAGTTAGAAGTTAAACACACACCGTTTCAAATGCAAGTCACAGTTGAATATTGAACAAAACTTAATTTAAAAAAGAAATTGACATCACTTACAATGAAAACTTACAATGAAAACTACACTATGTGGCCTCTGTATCCTACCAAAGACATAACACTGCTTTTAAAAAGGTCTATATGTATTTGTGTTACATTTACTTTTTATTGGCTTTTTGGCTTTTGTTCTAATGCGATCTGGACTGACATCGCAGCTACTTTGGGCTGGAGTCCATGTGACTGTATGACCCGTCCAGATTTGATTCCTTAGGAAGAAAAAGTCCAGGATGATGTCTTTGGTAGGTTTTAGAGTCGGCTGGGTGTGAAGAGGAGGTCCCAGCAGAAGGAGATGTCCAGTGGGAGGAGCCTCTCACTGGCTGAGGCTCAGGGGCAGCTGCCACACCAGCAGCGTGTGTCCACTGGCGTCCATGGGGGCTGGACTGTCCATCCTGCGGTAGCCCCTCCCCCCGGAGAAGACGGCGGTGGAGCTGACCCTGCTGCGCCTGGCCTCCCTCTCCCTGCCCCAGTCCGTGCTGGGCCCCCGGACCCACACGTCCGGGTCCTCGCTGACCTCGTAGATGGAGCCGTCCTCTGGCCCGTGCTCGGGGCAGTCGGGGGGGCCCTTGGGGCCGGCCTGGTCCGGCTGGGCGGTCAGCAGCTTCCCGGGGAGCTGGGCGGTGGAGCTGAGGCTGTACTGCAGCCTGAGGCATTTGGACCTCTCGTCCCTCGGCGGGGGGGCCTCCTGACCGCTGCCTCTGTCCAGCCTCAGCTCGATCTCATCCCCGCTCAGACGAGCCCCCCGCCCTCGGGCCGTGCCCCCCCCCCCATCGGGACCCTCATCGCTGCTGCTGAGGGAAGGGTCCTGTCTGAGGAAGTCAGAGGCCAGGGAGCTGGAGGCCGACACCAGGAAGTCCACCGGACCACAGTGAGCATTCAGGGATGTCCTCCCCTTCCCTGGGGAGGAAAAGAGGCTGTGTGAACACGGTCCATTTCACCCAGTAACACAGCAACAAGCTCAGTGTGATCAGGACTTTTACTGCCTTCATCACAATCATAACCTTTCATCTGATGTCTCTTTCAAAGAGGAGCTTCTTCTGGCTTCAGAGGAGGACAGACCTGTCCCCGTTCCCTCTAGTGTGTGCCATTCAATCCAAGGTGAGCACATGTTTTCTATATTACATTTATTCACATAAATGTTACGTTCATTTACTGACCTGCCACTGTTCAAAGCTCAACTTAAAACTTATTTGTTCAGGATGGCTTTCTGCACATAGGGTCTCTGTATTCTGGGTTCTGTCACCGATGTGATTGTCTTTGTGTATTATTTTGTATTGTTCGATAGTTTGATCTGTTTTTTATTCTGTTAAGCACTTTGATCAGCTCCAGCTGTTGTAAAGTGCTATATAAATAAACATTGATTGATTGATTGATAAACCACGAAGAAAAAAAAAAACACAAGAAACAAGCCGTATTTGTTTGTGAGATCAACGGTTCATTGCATTTTTTATGTAGAACTCCCAGAGTGTTGGACTTTTTGGGAGGGCTGAGGTTGTTCTCGTGGTCATGGTGTGAGGCTTTTTTAATGGCTGCAAAGCTAACTGCTTCAGAGGGATGTTAGAGAAAGAAGGGTGCTTCACAGACCTGCAATCTTAGGAATTCCCTCCAGGATGGGAACGGAGAACGTGAGGATGATGCCCTGGCTGGTTCCTACCCACAAAAGACCCTGGTTGATCAGTAGACTGGAGATACACACCTGGCCTGAAACACACACACATTCAGCCATCAGCATCTGTCACCGCCGCTACATAAGGCAGAGTAGTCAAAGCCGGATACCAGAACATTCCAGTGCACCTGTCACCATTTAACGTATTTTCTGCACTATAATGCGCACCTTCAATGAAAGGCCTATTTAAAATTTTTGCATATATAGCTGCATAGAGCAGAAGCTGCAGTGGTGTCTGGGGCTGCGTTAGCATCCCCCAGAAGCAGCTGCGCCACAGAGAACCTCCACTAAACAGTCAGATATCAGTCAGACTTTACTAACAAACACAAACCAGCGACTCTGTTCACTCCCAGAATGAAAGAGCTGTTTCATTACTGTTCCAGCTAATGGCAGTGACATTACCACACAGTTTACCTTTTAACAACAACAACGTTCAATAGGTAGAGCAGCATTTTTGTCCTAAAGTGGAGGGAACTTTTCCCCGATTCAGTAAACAGGTAAAAGAAACGGTCTGATACGGTTACGGTAAATCAAACGTTAGCTCAGTCACCATATAGAAACTCTGGAAATAGTGCAATACAACAATAACTCAACGTTGTTGAAAAATTAGTGTCCATATTCACAATATGACCCACCGTGTTCAGCTTAATGAAAATAAATTAAATGAAATGAAAATGTAGGCTTCACGCAGTCACATATCCCAGCATGCACCAGGCCATGCTTCTTCTACAGAGAAAATGGAGTCTGCGGCTACTCCCGAAGCTACCAGACCTGTTGCGGCTCAATATTAATCCATATATAAAGGCGCACTGGATTACAAGGAACACTGTCGGTTTTTGAGAAAATGGAAGGCCTTTAGGTTCCTTATGGTGCGTAAAATACGGTAATATAAGCTGCTATGACCATGACCTGGAGGCCGGAGGTGACACGCTGACTCAGATAGCCTGGGCTGCTTTATTCTAGCTAGTTGTGTTCAGGCTTGCCTGGTGACAGGTGGGCAGAGCGGGTAGAGATGTTGACTTCCTGCAACGGCTCCAAGGTCTCCGTGTGAAACAGGGATATGGAGGAGCCCTGTGTGAAGGCCATCCAAACCCCCCCACCAGAATGCACCATGTGGCTGACGCTGTAGCCCGGATCAGCGTGAGCTTCAAGGCTCTGCAACACAAGCACATCCCAGTTAGAACAGCCTTCAGTCTGGACATGAGAAACACGGCATCACAGTTACCAATCAGTTCATAACCAGGCTAGTCTGAGCTGTTCAGAATACCAGACTCAGTTCTCATAATCCACAGTAGAAATCAGAAAAACCTCTTCTGTTTGTTGTGTATCATCTCTGGTTCAGATTCTGAGTTTCTCTCAAGATTTTCTTTATCTCATAAAAGCAGTCTGTGAACTACTAATATGAACTACTCATTTAACATTTCTTAATGTCTTTTAGTCATTTAGGATCTCCATGAGTTTAATTCATACAGATCTATGATGGGGAATATCATATTTCCTGGATAAGAATATTTCGTTATCTGGGAAACCTTTTTCTTGTGAAATCTAGATACATATTGTAGCATGGATTAGTAGTTTGCTTGGAAGTCCATCAGAATTCATGGGGGGAAAGAGGATTCCCAGGTCCAGATGTGGATCCACCACAGCAGGAAAACAGAAAGAAGGACTAAAGAAGCCTTTCATGGTGACTCAAAGGCCGTGTCAGTGTTGAAAATCAAGGTCCCAGATCCTTTGTGTGACCATTTGAAACCATTTGCTGGGTTGAACATTCTTTGAAGCCGTAGAGAGAACCTAGAGAACATGAAGCTGTCCATCAGCCGCTGAGTCCTACCTGAGTGTGAAGGCTGGCTCCCTGGAACACCGTGACCTGGTTTGCAGAGCTGGCCCACACAGCGTCCTCAACGGCCAGTAGACAGTAGACGGGCTTAGAGCCCACAGACACCAGGCTGCAGGAGTCCGTGTCCCACAGTCGCTCTAACAGGACAACAACACCTTTTCATTCCATTTCCTCTGGACTGTGTGGAGTTTTTCATCCACACATGCTAGCTAGCATCAATGTCAGCATTAAGCTGGTGGGATTTTCTTCTTTTAGCTCTTACCTCCAGTTTTTCTGTGGAAAACGGCTACTTTGCCGTTGCTTAGTCCAGCGAAAAGATACGACAGCGAGTGTTTGAGGGAGAGGACCGGGCAGCCGTCCTGATTCACTAATGTCTGCAGACACTGAACAACAGTGTCCACACTGCTGTGCACCAGGATACTGAAACGAGACAGAGACCCATTACAAAGAGCACTCGAACATTAGACATGCTGGAAGAGAACGATTAGAGCTGTTCTTCTCCTTCATAGAGGATGAATATCTGAAGTGATAACTGAAGGGACACGTGCAGTAAATTGGATTTATCTGACAGAACATGGACTGTTCGTGCCCTATTGTGCTCTCTGAGTTAACAAGAGCTCCATCTGGGCATTCACCCTTCTTTTTCACCCAAGCTCAGACTGTTCATTAACCCATCTAGGGGACCCCGGACTATCTTTAATAGGTTATTTGCAAAATGCCTCTAAGCTTGTTGAGACTAAATTAGACAAAAACACATTTTCATTCAGGAATTTCAGCTCACTACTTTGTATCAAAGTTGGAAAGTTTAGTTTAGGCAACTGGAGGTGAAGTTTTGTAGAAGACGTTTGGCCTCTGGTCCAAGAGGCTTCATCAGTTCTACCTGATGGTGGAGCTCTGAGGTTAATATACTATATACTATATACTATATACTATACTATACTATACTATACTATACTATACTATACTATACTATACTATACTATACTATACTATAGGTGTAACAGAAGAATTGGCAGGAAAAATAAAAGGTGCCTCTGATCCCTGGGCTATAGAGGTCACCTGGTTAATGCTCATTAGAGGGTTATGAGAACTTTCCTAGCTTGACCATGACCTGGATGACTGAGGATTTTCACAGATATTCTTTGTATCAAGCACAGTATATTTGAATTGGAGTGACACATATCAGACTGAATTGCGATGAACTGAATCCAGCTCCCTTTGGCTTAGCTGCAGCTCAGCTTTGCGATCATTAGCTCGGTTTGAAGAATTTTGGTCAGCCGTTAGAACTGTTTCCAGCGCACACCGGTGACTGACCTTCCATCCTGCAGACCAGCACAGATGATGTTCCCAGCTTTTGCATCGCTCTGGGCCTGGTCAGCCTCCTGGTCTGTGCTGGGACACGGCTCTCGGACGTACTCCAAACAGAGGACCGGGGCCCGCAGAGGAACAGTCTTCACCAGGCGGGGGGTGGCGCGGTTTAAGGAAAAGATCTGCACCTGGCCACTGTCAGAGTTGCCTTGTCCACTGGCAACCTGTGCAGCATTGGAGCAAAATATGGAATAAATGAAGGGTTTTTTCTGGGGAGGATTTCAACTGAGTGTTAAAAACGGTGACCCTGCCTGAGTTCAGATATTAAGACATCCACTGTTGGGGGGGAAGGTTGTGGAGGACCCAAATACTGCCAGCAGATTGGTGGGCAAAAACCTAACTGAAGGTTTAAAAACTGACCAACCGACAGCTCAGCAGAAAACAACGCATCTACCCACTGAACAGTGTAGACGGGATTCCAGGGTTAAGACAGAAGATAATCTATCATCTGATTACAGGGGTCCCTGAAGCAACCCGGTGCAGAGCTTCCTCACCACTGAAGCCCCAAGCTGCTGCTCAGAGGAATGGGGTAAGTCCATATCCGATCAAGCCTTAGACCCATGCAGGACTGGGTCAGAGGTCAGCTTCTCCCCCAACACAGTGTGAAATTTGACAATCCTTCTAGTAGATTGTATGGGGCTCCAGTACCCCGGGGCCCATTTTGGGAATAAGCGGTTCAGAAAATGGATGGATAGACTGTATGGCCATCACAAAGACTGTTTGGGAAAAGCCTTTTTAAGACAGCGTGCTAGGACAGCTCAAAACTTGGCACCTGTGAGAAACCAATAATCAGGCATCGTGATTCAATCCCAGAGTGCTGCGCATGGTAACAACAGATCTGTCCCCGCGGAACCAGGACCTTCCTGCCAGAGGGTTCTGGGTTGGAGTCCCGGGGGAACCAGGACCTTTCTGGATGGACTCTGCATGTTCTGCATTGTATGTGGGTTCTCTCCGGGTTCTCCGGCTTCCTCCCACCGTCCAAAACTGCTCCAAACTGCCCTTATTGTGAGTGTGTGTGTGTGGTTGTTGGTCCTTGTGTGTCTCTGTGTGTCCCTGTGATGGATTGGCAGACCATCCAGGGAGACCCCCCCTCTCCTCATTGACTACTGGGATAGGCTCCCCTCGACCCCATTAGGGAATAAGCGGTGACGATAATGGATGGATATCTAAGAGTGAGATTGTCATGCTGACAGAAACACAGTGTGTCGGTTCCCTGGTGCGTTTAGGCAAACCTCGCAAACTGGCACAGTACAGTCTCACCCCTCTTTTGGCCTCCGGTTCCCTTCTGCCAACCTTTCTGCAGCTATGTGCATAGCCCTGGAAGCGCCGCAGAGGGGGGAGCACTGGTGCCCCAGACCACCAATCGGCCCATAGCCTCTCAGCTTTGGCAGGCCTCATACTGTAGATTTGCCACACACTAATTGACGGGGACCAGCTTGCAGAGAGTCACCGTTCACATCCTCTCATTCTGCTCCAATTTGGCAGAGACCCCAGAGAACTAAACTGTGGCCCACAGGGACCACCGTGGACGGAAGCCCAGGCTCAGCAGGCTCCACACTTCACACGTTTAACAGGGCTACAGGCACTACTGGAGTTATGGCAGCCATTAGGCTGAGGCACAGTCCCCAGAAGACTCGAGAATAGAGGCTGAAACGGTCAAGCTAATCTTGTTGTTCGAGGGTAAGGAAACAGAACCCCTCTCTGGGGTCTAGAGTGGAGTAGATAGTCTGGATGATCAGGAGATAATCTGTTCCCATGGTGTTTAACTTCTTTCAGAAAGGGAAGACTCTAAATGCCTGTAGGAGTGCGTGAGAGTATGTGTGTGCTTGTGTGTCTCTGTGTGTCGCCGTGGTGGACGGGTGGGCTGTGCGTGGTGTGGTACTCACCCAGAGGTAACCCTGTGGTAAGCAGGTGCTGGTGGAACAGAAACCGAGCAGGCTGGACTGTGAGGGACTGTGAAGGGCTGCCTCCAGCTGCGAAACACAGAGACGGGTTTCAAAAGATTTCCCAAAACAAGGAGCTAAAGTCACCCCAGCCTCCCCTTTTCTAAGAACACAGTGAAGTGACCTGGAGTGGACCTTCATAACAGACCGGAAAGTTGGTGACAGAACAAGGAAACCTCTAGAAAGTTGTAGATTTTGTGGTTGGATTATTGTGTATCCACTGGAACTGTTGGTACCTGAGAGAGTCTTTTTCTGAAGTAATTACATGTAGTCCCTCACAGATCTCTATTTATTCATCTATTATCTATTACTGACACAGTGTTGGTTTGTTCTTTGTACTGGGTATAGCTCACATCTGCGTCTGACCCATTCAAAGCAAAGTTGGAAGCCTTAAATCTGACCTACCTACCTACACAGCCTAATCCCAAAACGTCTTTTAAACTTTCTCATCCAAAAAATTTGGTTGATGGTTGCATGTTTGCAGTGTTTCGAGACACAAAGATACCAAACGGGGATCTGTGTGGTCTCCCTGCTCCCTCCTGTGGACACGGAGCTTTTAGTTCCTGGTTCCTGTCCTGTGGGACCGGCTCTAATTTGGGTGCGAAATGCTGACATCCTCTTTCTGAATCCAGAAAGCCCCGGCAGCTCTCCTCTTACCCTCAGTGTCTGTGTGGTGGAGGAGGGAACAGGAAGTGAGCAGGTCAGTAACGGAAAAGTATGGAAAGCTTTGGTCTTCCCGTCCTCCTCAGAACATTCCCAGCCGGTGGTGTTTTCGTTTCCTAAACAAACACACGTTTTGGGAAGAATTTCAGACACAGAGTCATCTGAATTTAACAAATCGACAGATTTTAGATCCTTCAGATCGTTTCTTACTCAGAGAAATCTTGGCGAGGTGAAGTCGGTTCACCCAGGAAATCTTACTGTGGGGGCTGGGGGTGTTGAAGACCACCATGATGCTCACCGGCCGACCAGACCTGATAAGCAGAGGACAAGCCATAAAATATATATATATATATATAAAATAACAAAAATAACAGAATAATAGAATAATAATAAACAATTAATAAAAATAAATAAAAAATATTGAATAAACAAAAAAAGCAAAGAAAGCCACAAAAAAATAAAAAAATGAAATATCAAATAAATAACAAAAATAAATCAAATAAAAAACAAAGGCAGGCCACAGCTGAAGCGTGGCTGGACGTCCTCACTTGTCCGGTTTTCCTGGGACGGACAGGCGCAGGCGGCATTTATCCGCGTTCTGGATCTGCTCCTCCTTCAGACGGATGAGCCTCTGCAGAGCCAGGCTCCAGTCTCGAGACACCGTGGTGTTGAGATTCTGACACAAAATGCAGTTGGAAAAGGGATCTTTTAACTCACAGAAAGAGCCTTTATGAAATATAGATGACAGAAATCCAGTGCTGATGTCCTGTGGACACACAGTGGCTTTTTTCTCTGTGCTTATGAATTCTTCCTGAACCTTATAATGTTTCCCAGTGACAGCAACAAAAAAAGAGATGATTTTAGGTTTTTCCAGTGAGGGGCACAGCCTCTCGCCAGGAATTAATCCCTCACTGCATACATATTCAAGTATAGATAGCATCTGTATATCCAGAGTAAAACATTAAAAACATTCTTCAGAATAAATTCATTCAGTTTTGTCTTATCATCGAAGACCTTAAGATCAAGAATTCCAGTACCAGAATAACAACCATCATCATATTATCAAACGTACATAGAGTATCACAAATGTATGTCAACCTTTGTTTGAGTAGCACTCCCTAAAGAGTGTGATCACAGTTTATCTCAATCAGTGTGCCACATTTCTGAAAACTGAGCTGTGTGATCATTCCGGTTGGGACATTTTTCAGGAACAATTGCATGTTGGAGACATAAAAACAACTGTATCCATCCTAGTGATACATTCATTAAAATGCAAAAGAAATATAGTTCAATGCATATGCCGTGCGTCACTTCATAGGTTTTTGGGTTTTTGCACAGACAACACAGAAGCTTTGCTAGAAAATATTGAAAAGCAAAAAAATGAAACCCAAAAAATCCAGTTTGCACACGTGAGAAAGAACACAAATGTGTTTGAGATGCAGACTTCTGAAAGTGCAGAGCCAGGTTTCTAAAGAAAAGAAGGAACTCCTTATGTTCCCCATGCTATTTACAATAATGTAGACATTTCAGATGAGGAGAACTTTGCCACATAGAAAAAAACCCACCTGGTAGATACCGTGGAGCGTGCCCACTAGCAGGGACACCTCCTCCACCACAGCCAGGTCATGCTGCAGCTCCTCCAGCTCCTGGTACAGTTTAGGGGGGCCCAAAAACACTTTCCCTGGAAACAGGTAGTCACACTGAGTTCCGGCAGCAGCCTCACGTGACCTGAATGAGCTTCTGTCCAGATGAGCCCACCCCAGTGGAGTTTTCACCGTCCAGCCAGCGGCAGCTGCATGACCCCAGCCCTTCATGGGACTGCATTAGCCCAAACAGCATTTCACTCAGTTGAAAGCGTCCTCATACGAAAGTATTCGTGATTTGGCTTGAGACAAAGCGTGTCCTTTGCACATATTGGTGTTACAAACTGACACCAGTTGGCTGGACTGTCCATCAACAACCTAAAGATCTATTTGTCTGGACAGACGCCTCGATAAAGTACAAAAAAAGCCCTTCTTAAAGCTAAAACTGCTGGTTTTCATCACTGTTTGAGGAGGATGAGGAAAATCCCAGGTTTCTTTCCATTCATGCTGACAAAAAGTCCGGGCTCTGTTGAACCAGGTGTTCCTTTAAATCTCCTTTTCTTTAAAACCATAAAATAGGACCTCACTCATTTTCAACACAGAGCAGATTCATTATGGCTGAGCTATCGCTGGAAAGGCAGTTTGAGCTGTCTGTCAATAGATTTCAGGCTGCTCTAATTAAACCTTTACCTTAAGGAAAAACTACTCTTGAGCTAGCAGGTTAGCTAATTATTCTGGTTTTCTGAAGACAGAGCAGGAGGCTTCTTCATCCATGCTCAAAACCTCTTTGTCTGAACCAGATCCAGAGCCCAAAGTGGGCTAAAACATGTGGGTTTTTTACAACATTGTGGCAGAAACATTCTGCTTTGTGGCCGGTGTGGAGGGCTAGAGGACCTCAGGGCCAGCCGGGGCTGTACCTGTGCTGCTGGGGGGGGGCGTGAAGCGTCTGGTGGTGATGATGCCGTCCTGGCTCTGCAGGCTGTCCTGCCCCACCTCCACCACCTGGACCTGGGACAGATGGGCACACCACTTCACCGAGTACTTGGGACCCACGGGAACCAGGCTGCTGATGTCGGGGGGCCCCCTGCTGGACACACGCGTTAGGGTTATGAGGAGGACCATCGCTCTGGTGGCCACACCATGCATGCTCTGTCCTGCCTGAGGTCAGTGTGCTCTCTGGGGAGGTCAACCAGTGGACAGGGCAGATCCATCCATCCATTATCATAACCCCTTATTCCCTAATGGGGTTGGGGAGGACTGGAGCCTATCCCAGTAGTCAATGGGGAGAGGTGCGGTCACCCTGGACGGTCCCCAGTCCATCACAGGGACACACAGAGACACACAAGGACCAACAACCACACACAGACTCCACCCAGAAAGGTCCTGGTTCCCCCGGGACTCCAACCCAGAACCCTCTGGTCCTGGT